GATCCGCCTGCTGCTTCCCAGCTGCCTGCCGGCTCTGGGCGCTTTGCTGTGGCCGCCTGCGCTCCCATTGCCTGCTGTGGCCGTTCAGACCCGTTGTACTGAGCGTGGGGTGCTGGGTGAGGCCTTGGGGTGGGATTTAATGAAAGCAGCGCTGGATTCGGGCCTCTGCTGTTGACCAGAGACTTCTGTGTTGCAGCAGCGTGTCTTTTCCACTCCTTTTTCCTACTTCTTCACACATACCCTGCCCTGAGCGTTTGAAAGAGCCTTACTGTGGATTTGGTAGTGCCTGAATCACTTAGAATGGGTTTATTGTATGACAGGGGGTTTTGCTGTGTTTCACGAGTGGTGTCTGCATGGACTCAGGGTTAAAATGTGCACGTGTTCACTTCTGATGCTTCCAAAAGCTTGTCCCAGCTGCCCCTGTGGCTGGGGGGCACAACAAGACAAGATTGTGTCAGGTTCAGGCCACAGAAAGCTCAGTTTGTGCCACGTTCATACGGACAGGAGGGAAATGCTCCCAGGGAGCATGGCGGGAGTGAAGGTGAGGAGTGGAAATAGGTGAACTGAAAAGGCCTTTCTGTTCCCAGTGCAGCGGTGGCCAGTGCCAGGTGACGTGGGTGCTGTGGTTGGTCACAAGTGTGAAGCTCTCTGGAGCAGTGTTGCTGCTTACGGGGTGAGGACACGTTGGGTTTGTTGTTGGGCCCCCCCCCCGGCTGCCACCAGACCCGCTGAACCAGCAGCACCGCTGTCCTTGAGCGGGGGCTGAGCTGCTGCTTGCAGTCAGTGTGAAGAAAGTAGTTCATCTCCTCCTAAAAAAGCAGCGAACGTGTTGGTGTGAGTTACAAGCTGTCCATTTTCCTCCTTAAATTGAACAACACCCACACCCTGCAGCTACCAAAGGTGTCACTGCAGCAGCAAAGTAAAGGTGTCTGTGTGTAGAGGAGCTGCAGTCCTTTGTGGAGTGTGCTCAACGTGTGAGCGCGGGCAGGTGTGTGATGTCTGTATGTGTATGTGCACATACACACACCTATCTTAGAGCCATTGTCTCTGTGAGGCTTTTCCTCCTGCCTTTGAAAGTGAGGAACTTCTCTGCCATGATAGAATGTGTCCAAGAGAACTGTTGCTCTGGGGGGTTATTCCTTGAGGACACTTCTGCTTTAGGCTTCAATAGAGACACAAAGTTTTCGCACATGTACTAAGAATGCAACTACTTAACTCTTTCCAAGGGATTATGGGGCTGTGTCTAGACAGGAGGAGTGGTCCAGCAGAGAAAGCTGCTCTGTTCTGCTCTGATTTGCTCTTCCTGTAGGAGCCCTGAGGTCACAGAGCTGAGCCTGGGAGGTGGTTCTTGGGCTCTGGATGATTCCTTCTTTGCAGGGTCCACCTTGGGAAGTGCCCGTGTAAGATAAAGGATATGGTCTAAACCAGCAGCTCAGAGTGGTTTTTGACCAGGGGGGGTTTGGGGCTCAGTATTTCACATTTTGGAATGTGTTTTATACATTCAGACCCTGTTGTTTATTTGGAAGATGTTTTAGGAATGAACTTGCAGTCACTGTTAAGTTGGGAAACCTTGACTTCCCCAGGTTTAAATTTAGCATCTTCATCAGTGACAAAACTCTCTCTGGTGCTTCCCAGAGCACACGTTTCCCAGAAGATGGGCCTCCAGCCAAGGAATTCTCATCTCCTCACTCCTGGCCCATTCCGTGTGTAGCAAAGCCAGAACCACACAGACACTGAGCTCTGAAGGGAGGAGAGCTCGTGGGTCTGGTGGGAATCTGTGTGCTGGAGTGGCTGTTGCTTCTCAGTTGGGTCTTCTGGGTTTTGGGGGCAGAAAGTGCATTATTGGATGGTTAAGGTACGTGTGATGGAGCATATGAAATCGTGAGAGAGCTGCTCTCATCAGGGCTGACTGACACGAAATGAAGATGTGTTCAGGAGCCTCAGTTCAGTTAAGGTATTGCTGAAACACTTTGGAATAAAGATGTCCTCTTTGAGCTACTACGTATCAGTGTGAAGATCCGGCACCAGAGCAACTTTGTTTCCCCCCAGGAGAGTTCCCTGGAATTCCTAAACCACAGGAATAGGTGTGGGTGCTCCCCTGCCCCCAGTTACAAATAGGGTCCATGAAGAAGGCCCTGGGAGCTGCCGTCGTGCGCTGTCCCTGCACAGGCACGTGGGGAGGGGTGAGCCTGTCATCGCGTGGAGGCCCTTGCCCAGCCCTACTGGGGACGTGCAGTAGTTGCCCTCAGCCCACGAGTGCCTTTCCAGCACCCCGGGGTGCCCTGTTCTGGGGCTCTGCGCTCTCAGATACTGGATGTTAAGACCCGTGAAGGACGGGGCAAGGGCTGAGGCAGCAGTAATGAAAGGAGCTATTTAAGAAGTGGGTGTAACAAACTCTTAATTAGATGTGAGCTAAAATAATGCTGCTCCAAATTCAAGTCAGCTCCTTGGAATGGGGAAGGAAGCTGGAGCCCTCCCAAGTGCCAATTAACTGGAGTGAGCTGGTGGATGGACTCTGTGGCTCCCTTGCTTGGGTCAGCACATTGCAGTGAAGTCCTGAGTGCTTCCACCAGTGCCTTCTGTTTGTTGTGCTGTAGCAACCTCAGAATTGAATAAACCACTTGATTTAATAAATGCCCTGCATTGCTGTGTGAGGTGCAGTCACAGTGTTCAGGAGTTACAGGGTTTAAGCTTGTCTGTAATGATGCCCTGACAGTGTGTGTGATTTTGGGTAAACGACGTCTCGTCAGGTGTCATCTCTTAAGCTTGCAAGTTGAGTTGAAGCAGGTCACTGAAGTTAGACTCCTGTGAGTTTCTTGGCTTTAACTTGTGGTGTGAGCATCGTGAGGTGCTTGGCACGTGCTTCAGATCCAGTTTAGAGCACTGACTCCACGTGGAGGCCACGGGCTTGAATTTGCAGTGGTGTTAGGACAAGAATATAGATTCCTATAACCCTGATGTAGGGAACGGTCAGGAAAACCGTGGAATTACTGCTGTAGAGTCTGCAGGTGACATTTGCAGGTCAGCTCTGTAGAAACAATGCTGCTTCTGGATTTGCTTGAACCAGGGATCATCCACTGGGCAGAGGACAGTGGCCGGGAGGTGTGGGAGATGGTGGTCATAGAACGGTTTGTGTTGGAAGGGACCTTAAAGCTCCTCCAGCTCCAACCCCTGCCCCGGGCAGGGACACCTTCCACTAGAGCAGGTTGCTCCAAGCCCCTGTGTCCAGCCTGGCCTTGAAGGTTGCAGGTTGCTGAAGGTGAAAGCTGGAGGCAGTTACTGCAGCCACCGCAGCTGGGGCTGCTTGAAAATACACTTGAGGACGTGGTGGCTGTGGAGAGCATTGAAGTGGTTGGTTTGTGGGAAGAGTCTGTCAGTAGCTCCTCTGGTGATGGGAAGCAGCAGCCATGGTTCTGGTGGCTGTTAGAGGTCGGTATTCCTGTGCGGAGCCAGACTCCCTGCATCCCCCCTGCCTGCTGCTGCTTTCCCCGCTCCCGCAGCAGTGTGTTGCCCATGAGTCACTGTGGGCGCTGATGTGACCGGCACCTGCTTTTGTAACTACTGACATGGGCTTTCTGATTCTTTAACCAAAAGCTGCTATTTTCAAGGTAAGAACTGGTCCTGAAGCCTCCTGCTCAGCTCCCAAAAGCCCTTGTACAGCTCTCAACTTCCTCCCCACTTCCTCACTCCATACATAAGATGAATGGATTTAAAGAGGTTGTATGTATGTGAGCTGCTGCTCTTTGCATTTGTTACCTAAACAAGTATCTGGAAAAAAAATCTTAGTTCAAACTTATTTTGTAGGATAACTGGGATGATGAGGAGGAAGAGGAGGAAGTAAAGGAGACGGAGGTAAAACAAGGTAAGACTTAAAAGCACGCATGGCTCTGCACACAGCAGAGCAGATGCTGCTTTGTTTGGAGTGTACCTGAAGAATCAAACCAACTAAATGGGGTTGGTTTTGTTCTGACAAAGCGTGTCCTGGAGCTCCCTGGGTTCAGGTTCCACCGATGGAGCTCTGTGGATGACTCTTTGATCAGTGTGTCTGTGCTTGCTGGCAGTACACTGCGGTTGTTGAGAGCTTTGGTGTTCCATGTGTTACAGAACCAAAAGTCTCCGAAAAAAAGAAAATAGCAGAAAAAATAAAAGAAAAAGAAAAGCTACAGAAGAAGAAGCAAGAGGAGCTTAAAAAAAGGGTAACTCCTTTTTCCTTCTGGGTCTCGGAGATGTAGAGAACAGGCTTGATTTGATTCTTTTAAGGCTGAATAAGACCTGTAAAGCTCTTGACTATGATAAAACAAATTTCAGTCTTGCACTGAATAACACCCAGGGGGGTGGGGAATCAGCTTTAATATCTGTAATTGAACCAGTTACTGAAGCGATGCTCATCTCTGCTGCTTCATGGGACAACGGGCAGTGGTGAAACACAGAACTAAGGTGCTTCTTCCCACTTGTAAAATGTTTGTTAAACGATGTGGTATTGTTACCCTGCTCAGGGGCAGAAATAACAGCGTTGTCCCTATCTACGTTTCTTCCTGCAGTTAGAGGCCCCAGAGGAGCAGAAAGAGCTCACACCAGAGGAACAGTTAGCAGACAAGCTACGACTAAAGAAATTGCAAGAGGAGTCAGACCTGGAGTTAGCAAAAGAAACCTTCGGTAAGTGCGAGTTGGTGCAACTGCAGCAGCGCCAAAGGGCTGTCCCCTGAAATCAGGCTGGTGTGTGGCACCTGCAGAGGAACCGAGCACACGCAGCTTGTGTGGCTGAGACTGGAGAGGGGTTACACTGGAACTGCTGCAGCCAAGTCTTGGTGATTGATAGGGACTAATTGCAAGAACCACGAAACCACCTTTAGCACAGGAGGTGCTTTTCCTTAGCAGGTGATGGTAGGAGCCCATAGGAGAAGGAGGTGGCTGACTGAAGTTTCCAACATACTGCACTGGCAATGTCGGTACTTGGGGTAAAAAGCTGAGTGAGATGAGTGTGTAAAACAAAATCCAAGAGGTGCTGTCTCTGAACGTTCCAAGGTGCTTTCCACCAGGGATTTAACAAGGCTTTGGAGGAGTGTGGCACAGCAGAACTCACTCCAGTGTGCTTCCCTTCAGGCAACCCGTGTGGCAGGCCAGGAGGAGGGAAAGCCAGGTCAGGGCAGTGAGCTGGGGGAGGCAAAGCAGATTTAGAGCAGATCGGTCTGGTTTTGTGCTCTGACAGCACTAGCAGAGATCCTGACTCACAGCAGTGTTCTCCACACCTGAAAGCCTGTTTCCTTGATTATAGTGACTTATCCAGCTACTACTGAGTGGAAATGCTGCTCTGTGAGTCCTTGGCAGAGTACGGGCGGGGAGTGCACCGAATACAGCTGCGAAGAACCAACTAAACTTTGCTCTGGGGAGCTCAAGGCAGGAATTCTTTATTTAAGGGAAAGGGGCTTTCCTGTAGAGCACGTTGCTCCAGGGAACAGGAATAGCTGGTGCAAATTACTACATTTTGGAGTAACCCACCTTTCCATAGAGGCTCCTAACTGGGGCTGTTGGCTCTTATGTGGTGGAAGCGAGTGAGCAAAGCTCAGCTTTGGCTTTGCGAAGCTTTGGTGGGGCTGAGGACCCGAATGTCAGAGAGGTTACTCGCTATCTATCTATCTCTGGTGTCATCCTCGGGGCTCGCAGCTCATGTTTCCTGTAACACCTCTGTCTTCCCGTGCAGGTGTAAATAACACTTGTGGAATAGATGCCATGAATCCCTCCTCGAAAGATGACTTTACGGAATTTGGCAAACTACTAAAAGAGAAAATCACACAGTACGAGAAGTCGTTACATTACGCCAACTTCTTGGAAGCGTTAGTTCGGGACGTGTGTATTTCATGTAAGTGTGGTGGGAGCCCTTCTAGAACATGCTGCTGCCAGAGCTGGAATGTTCAAGGTGCTGTTAAGATTGAGCTGTGTAGTTTATGTTAAGTGAAGGAGTAATCTGTTCCCCTAACGACTATCCAGCTCCATTCCTACAAACTGTATTAAGGATTGTCTCCCTGTACAAGAGGCTGCTTATCTGGGGACCTTCAAACAGTGACTGTGATTCCAGGGACCAGAATCACTCAGCCTGTATTCTGCTGATTTAAGCCAAGTAATTGCCCATACTCATTACAGATGCTTATTTCTACTCCTGGGAGAGTGCTGATGTTGGGTTATTTAACTGCCTTTGAAACAATACTGACACAGAATCCTTTTTCTTCTCCTGATGTAGTGGAAGTTGATGATTTGAAAAAGATCACAAATACCTTGACAGTACTATGCAGTGAAAAACAGAAACAGGAAAAGGTAAGGCTTCTGCGTGTTGGTGCTGCAAGGACTGGGCTGCTGAGGGCAGTGCTTGGACACTGCTCCAAGTGCTGGATTTGGTTTGGGAGTAGCAGATTAAATGATCACACGTCCACCCTGGCCTTGAGCACTGCCAGGGATGGGGCAGCCACAGCTTCTCTGGGCACCCTGTGCCAGCGCCTCAGCACTTAAATTCCTTAATTAAATTGGTGATTTCACAGAACTAAATACCAGGATCTGCATTTACGTTGTTATTCTACTTGTTTAGAGCCTGGGTAAAATAGAATGACAGCCAAAACATGGGCAAGCCCATGAGGGAGCTGTGGGACACCTGAGAATGCCACAGCTTCACTAGGAATGGACTGTAATGGATGGCACTGCAGGGTGAAACACAGGGTAGGAGTCATGCTCACTGCGTGGCTGTGTGAGTGCTCATACCCAGAGACGTGTGGTGTTACTGGAATTGGGGTAATGACTCAGTACTGTGCAGCTTAAAGTCAATGTGCTCTTCCTATTTAAGCAGAATAAAGCCAAAAAGAAGAAAAAAGGTGTTGTGCCGGGAGGTGGTTTAAAGGCTACGATGAAGGATGACCTGGCTGACTACGGAGGATACGATGGTGAATATGTACAAGACTTTGAAGACTTCATGTGACATTTATTTCCCTTTCTGTTGTTTTTCTGTTGCCCATAATCCCTTAAACATGTAGCACAACTTTTCTTCCTTTAAATTCTGCCAAATGCTACAATCAGAATTGCAGTATCTGCTGGTGGTTTAACTCCAGATGGGGCAGTGGTCAGGGCTTAGACTGAAGATGTTTCAAAGGTATGTAAATTGCAGTAAAACCCCCCAAATTCTGATAAAGGGTAACTGTTGCTATTTGACTCAATAGTAACAGCCACTAAATTGGAGGTTCAAGAGGACACAGTGTTATTCCCAGCAGGGTTCAGTGACTTGGCCTTACCTGAGTGACGTGTGCTGAAGCAGCGCAGTTTGCAGCGAGGGTGTGGTGTGCACTTAGTATTACAATTGCTTTGTCTTATGTTAGAGCTTGAGGATTTGGGGTATTGTGAAGGGGAACCACTAACTTCAGCGTGAGGATCCTGCACTCGAGACACGCTCCCGGCGCGGCAGCCGAGCGGGCACAGGGTGGGCATGAGCCGGGGGGGCTTGGTTGGAAAGGAACAATTTTGTGTCTTGAGTATGAAGTTTAGTTTCCATTCATCTGGATTTCTACTAATGCAGCTGTATGGGTTGGGGATTCCTTAACAGTTAATTGCCTGGTTTAAGTGTAAAACACCCAAGGCTTCCTTTTGGTGTCCTGGGTTGTGGTAGATCTTTCACGACTCGGCCGTTTTCTTTCATTTAAAACCAACAAAAACTTGCTTAGCAAACTGCAGGAGTTGCTACAGTTGGGCAAATTGTTATGTTAACAATTACAACATCTGCAATGTTTTATAAAGCAACTAATTTAATAAAAATCACTATTGAGGACTTCACCCCAGCTGCCTTCGGACCGGCTCTTTTAGTGTCTTAGCATAAGAGGTGGTGGGGTCACGGTGCTGGGACTCCCAGCTTGGACTAACCACACCAGCCTGGTCAAATTAGACCTGACAAGACTGACTAGCGCTGGAGTTTTAAGTAGTGCTCTGCTCAGGCTTACTCCTCCCTGCCCGAAACATTCCCTTTCTTAGAGGTGATACCCGTGTACAACCTCTAGAGCTGCCCTGGCTCAGGGGAAGCAGCATCACTGGTGTGCAGCAACCAGGAGCAGGCTCTAAGCTGTAAACCCAAGTTAGCATCTCTGCTCATTAGCTGGGTTGCCATGGCAATGGTGGTTTTGCTGGGGAAGAGTTTAGAGATAGTGGGATACCATTGCTTCATTTTACTTAGAAGCCATCTGTCTATGTGGTGCATCCAGCTGTGAGCCCTCCCCCTGCCCTGGGGCAGGAGTTACGTGTCTCTTAGCCAGGAGCTCTGCAGGCTGCTGTTACCTGGGGCACGTACTGAATCCAAGGTGAACCCAGTTTCTGCCTGAAGCAGTGTCCAAGTCTTACCCTCCTTCCCCAGGTAAATCAGACCCAATGTGCCAAAACCTCTCAGCAGCAGAGCGCTTATTGCAGCTCCTGACCTGGTGTCAGTGCCAACCACCCGCCCAAGCGTGGAGGGGAGTCAGGATCTACAAGAATACATCACTACTTGATTACTACTTTTTACCCCCAGCAGCAAATTAATATCTGCTGTACAACCCTCAAGTGTTGTACAAGACTTTCACTCTATCACTAAGCTGGGAAACAAACCAGTCTGATCAGATGGGAGCCAAAGAATGGATTATCCCGGCACGTACCTCAGCCTTCCAAAGGAGTTCACTCTCCCACTGACTCCACCACCACGTACACGCTGCTCTGCAGCTGCTCCTCCAGCCAGTTGCTGGTTTGGACACAATTCCTGTGGTGAGCCACAGCCTGAGGTGAGTGGCTGCTGGCTCCCTGGGGTTCCTCAGGGGCTGGCCCTGGCTGCAGTGGCCACTTACTCATGTTTTGTAAACAAATTTATTATACAAAACATAACTTTAGGTTAACACAGTCTCAGCGCTTTCAATATTTACACCCACCCCCAGTTCTCTGGAGTAGCTTCCACGTAGCAGCACGTGGCTGTAAGCAGGAGCTGGCTAAAATACCTGTTAAGGAGTCAGTACTAACCCTGCGGGAATCCGGGCTCTGCTCCGGGGAGGCTGGGCTCTAGTTTGACAACATGTCATTGAGGCAGCAGCCAGTCTGAGCATCCTTCAGGAGCGTGTTCACCACATCGTAGAACTTGTTGTCATAAGCCAACCTGTAGTACGTGTAGATGTCCTCACAGTACGTGAGCAGTTTCTTCAGGTTCTTCAGAGCAGCTTCTGTAGGTGGGTGTTGTTTAACTCTGAAAGTAATTGTACATGTAATTGAACTAGAAAGGCTTCACGGTCAACAATAAGACTTATTTGCAACAGACCTCTAAGAACTGCAATTCCTGAAAAGAGGCTGTGCTCTAAAGTAGCCAGTGGAAAAGAACATTCCAGTTTGTCCACAGAATACTCACTTCTTTGCAATCTCCTCAAACATGCTGGGTTTCAGTGGTCTTTGTTGTTTGAATTCTTCCAAGTACGTGAAGTCTCCCTTGGTGACCACTTGTTGATAGAGAACTTCAGCCCAGTCCGGAGCGAACTCGTACGCCTCGGCCACAATGGCTGCCTGCAGGGGAACAGAGCTGCAGCGACTGCGCAGGAAGAGGTGGTTCTGGCACAGAAACGTGCCTGTATTTAGGGTACTGAAAATACTGTAGGTCCCCAGCAGGGCTGTGCTTGTGTTTCCAGGCTCGCTCCTGTCTGGGGCAGTATCATGGGATAACAGTGGCCACGTGGCAGCGCTGAGCACTCTGCTCAGGTACCTGCTGTATAAAACCACCCTGCTCAGAAGCAGCAACAGACGAGGGAGCTGAGCTCACCTGGTAGAACCGAGGCAGGGCCACGATGGAGTCCAGCAGCTCCTGCCTGCTGAGGTTGATGAGCATCGTGCTCTGACCCATGCTGAGGAAATGCAGCTGGAGCGTTATCAGCTTCGTCAGCCGCCGGCACCGCAGGGCCTGGCGCACACAGGAGTCCTGGAGAACACACCAAGACAAACAGGAGCTCGTTTCTCAAGGAAAGTAATAAATATTCCTGCCAGCAACCGTGAGTTCAGAGTTACCCAGTACTTCATCTGCAGGTTTAGCACTGTCAGTTTTAAATGAAGCTTCACACACCACAGGAACTACTTTCATCACAACCACACCAGGTTTTAAACTCATTATATTGTTCTACTCCTGCTAGTTAAGCTCATGGCCACTCCTCTAAAACTGGGGAACCCAATTGTAACCCTAAAGTGCAGAGCCTGAACAAGGAACAGTGATCTGCTCGTGGACACAGCAGTGTCACTGGGGGGATGCTGCGAGGGATTATTTCTCTGCTCCTCTTCTCCTGGGAAAAGATTCCACATTCCCTCCCTAGCACAGCTTGCTTTCTCCTCCCCATTCAGCTCACTCCTTATGTGCTCCCAGTTCTGTACAGCTACAGTTTCATCTCATTTTACCTTAGAATAACTTTCTGCTGCATCAATGAAGAGAGTCAGGGCTTTCATCAGCAGTTTCTTTAAATTCGCAACATCCCGAAGAGACTCCTCTGAAATGGGGAAAAAACCCCAATTATTTATAATGTGACAAAGTATGTTACAAAAATGCCTCCTGGTACCAAGAGTGTCCCCAGGGGTGTTTCAGAGCAACAAAAGACTAACAAAAGCTATTTTGTACTAAAAAAGCACAAAGGAACAGTGCTGACTGCTCGGTTAATGGAGCAAAGCCATTGCTGGCTGCCAAAGGCTGTTACCAGGACCAGACAGGCCGTCAAACCCAGTCACCCTGCATGTCCTCCCGAAACAAACTTGGTTTCCACTCACCCCAGGGCTGGGATTCAATGAGTTTGAGCTGTATGCACGCAGCAGCCTCGTGATTCTCCCCGATCTCTCGACACATGCTGAAGCACAGGGCGATCATGTTGTGCTTCTCACTGTCCCCGGGCCGGCAGCGCTTGATGTAATCCAGCAGAGCTGTCTTCAGGGTCCCGCTCTGGTCAGATGAAGGAATATCCATTAAGATTTGAAGAGCCTTTGTTTTATTCCCATTTTAGTATTTCTGGTTTTTAAAATATTAAATATTTCTGGTTTTTAAAACCTTTAACTGGAAGTAAACCCAAAGCAGGACATGAGATCTCTCAGTGACATTCCAACGCTTGAACGCTGCACTTGTTGCAGCACTGAACTAATTTGAAATAGTTAAACCAGAATAAACCCCAGAATTAGCTTATTCCTGTGAAACTTGACTAACACGTCCCACACTCCCCATTAAAATCCCCATTAAAATCCCACAACACTCCGTTGTGTAAATATCAGCTCTGGTGCAGCCACACAGTTCTCTGAGTTTCCTTCCCTTTGTACCCCTCCACTTACTGGGTCTAACTTCTTTCTCATGAGCACTTCAAAGTAGTGTTTCTCATGCAGCAGCTCAAATATGTAGGTCATTTCATTGTACCTGCCAATTCCAGTGAGAAGACGAACCTGTGGAAATAGCAGTGAGAGTCTGAAGCCCAAAGCAAGCAGAAAACTCCCTCTCTCTGAGCAGTCAGTGCCACGGCAGGGAGGGAGCTGCACGCAGCACTGCTGGGCTGGCTGGTCTGGATATAGGCACAGTGAGGGGCATCAGACAGGCAGATGTCCCCTCAGAGCCATGGAGGTTTTATTTTTCAACCAACAACTGCATCTCTTTCACTGTGAGGTGAAAGGATGTAATTTGACCAAACTAAAATAGGCAGTGAACCTTTCAGCAATGACACCTTTATACTGGGCATGTCTCTGACTCCAGGAGTCCTTCCAAGGCAGGACTTAAAGATGTGCAACAGCCCAGTAATGCCAATCCTCACATTTCACCAGCAGCTGAATTACTCTGACATTCCCATCCTTTCACCAGCAGCTGAATTACTCTGACATTCCCATCCTGATCTATTTCACTGCTGCCACCTCAGCATTCCCCTATCTCCACCTCTGTTTTTCCAGAGAAGTCTTCTAAGAGCTTGTGACCTGCACACATCAGACCAAACACCCACTTTTAGCTTCTAGGGACAGGCAGGACAAGACAGTCGACCAGAGGAGGAGGACTGTGTCCATTCCACCCGCCCTG